AGATAGATAGATAGATAGATAGATAGATAGATAGATAGATAGATAGATAGATAGATAGATAGATAGATAGACAGACAGGACAGGACAGGACAGACAGAAATAGATAGATCTTTGGCACCAGCACAAAAGCCTTTCCTAGTCTGGTCGGTGATGCTTCCTCCTTGGATGTGATTCTGTGCTGTCCAGCCTCTTCACTGCCTCCTCACCTTCAACCTGGGATTCGACCACATATGGAGTAACTAATACAATAGGGACCTCCTTAGCATCCTCAAGCAGTTGCTGTTGCATTGATTGTACAGACTCTTTCTTTATATCTACACGATGCACAGATGTTACCGCATCAGGCCGGAGGAGCTCAGGCTCCTCTTTATGTCGTTGGTCGATTGTCCCAGAAGAACCAATATTTCCACACATGTCAATTGTTGCCAGCGATCCAATTCCTGGGGATAAAACAAGATTTTCTCGACGGCTTTGAAAAACACGTTTATTGCACATGATCATAACACCACTCACTATTAATAAAAGTGCAGAAACATAGCCAATATAAATAGCAGCTCCAATCTCCTGGTACACTGGAGAAGTAGGCATATTGAAAGACTCAGGAAACATGATGTCTGCATTAATCAAGATGGAATAACTGTTCCAAGCAATGGGAATTAAGATTATGATTCCTGTTAGGAAGTTCATGAGGCCTCCAACGTTAAAAAGAGTGAGCAAAAAAGTTTTGTGTGTTATGGCTCTGACAACATTCCACAAGGCAAAGCTCATGAAAGTTATCCCCACAGCTCCCACAATGCAACACAAGCTCAACAGATCTTGAGCCAGAAAAATTTCATTGGGCAGCTTCTTCAGGTCTTCAGTGAATTCCTCACAGTGGACATATCTGTTTTGTGGATGAGTGCTGTGCAGATAACAGGCTCTCCAGATTCCAATCCATAACAAGCCAGGATACAAGTTGTCCTTACTTTTAACATGCCATAATCTCCAGTAATCGGTGGCTGTTGAGGTAATACACAGGATCCATCCTAAGATACTGAGCAAATAACCACCAAATTGGGCTCTATTAATCCAGACTGACCATTTTGTAATCATGGATTCTGTTTCACTTGGTGCTTGCCAATTAAGTGGTTTATTGGTCATGTACATGAACTTCGAACTGTTAAAATAAAATAAAAACAAAATAGTTCAACATACGGTCTATGTATGCTATTATTCTGACACCTACTGTATACATAAATACATGAATAAACTAGCGGTGTAAAAGACATTCACCACTGATTCTATTGGAGGTAAATTTCTCCAATTGATTTCTTAGCAGTATAAGTTTATTTATTAATCAAATTTAGATGTTACCCATCACACTTTCTAAGTGACTCTGAGTGGTTTACAAATACAAAGAAAAAATATTTTTAAGTTGCTTATAAAATAGTAATGCCTTTAAAGGTTTAAATCAAATATGTTGGCATTAAAATAATACTGACAATTGTCAAGAAAAAAGCAAGGTATTACCTTAACAGTTATAGAACTTTGTGAGATGTATACAAATGCCAAATATGTTATGAATATCAAAACTGAAGAAATTCTGCCCCCACTAACATACTGTAGTTTAATTATTCTTTCTACATACTACAAATTGAACAGGACGTATTATTGAAGGATTAAATACAAATCCCACTTAGAATAACAGTAAGAGTTTGAATAAATGGAAGCTACCTACCTTGTAGGCAGAATACCTTCATTACTCCTCATTGCAAATATCTTAGACTATGAACTATGTTGGTGACTGTAAGTTTGCTGAAACAAAACAAAAGAGAATAGAGAGAGAGAGAGAGAGAGAGAGAGAGAGAGAGAGAGAG